CGTATATGAGTGTATGTATATGTATGTGTATAAAGTATATGTGGAAGCTGATGAGAATTGCATTTCACCTTTTGTAAATGCACATTAATGACACTGTAAAAGACACATCGAACACTTTATGTAGGGCATACGTAAATCTGTGTATCTACATATTTACGAATGTAGGATAGCTTAGTATTTTAAAAGCACCCAATCATCTATGGTTGATTGTTTAATAAATCCCTGAACTATATGTTCAACACATCTCTAACCCTGTCCATGGAGGACAGAAGAAAATGAATATATGTTGGTTAGCATTATAAATGTTTGGCCACGTCTAGAAAATAGACGTGGAAAATAATAATACCAAAAAGTAAACTAACACAACACTTGTGGCCTCTATTTGACTGTTTTACAGAAACTTCTTTTCGACAGCTCATAAAACGGAGGAAAGTGTCCCGAAAGATATTATTAATAGGAACGTTATCTTTAAAGACAAAAATTAGAAAATACAATTGACAATTTACTACAAATACAAGAAAACTGCCAACCTACTCATGAAAAACTCCCCAGACACCAAACAGAACGTCCTGAAGGAAACCAACATCGTCTCAACCTTCACGTGCCCACTTGGGGACTGCAAGCCCCAAAGATCTCAGTATATAGGCAAGACAACAACGTTTCTTTCTAGGCGATTAACAATGCACAAACAACAGGGCTCCATTAAGGAACATATAATCTCTTCTCACAACCAGACCAATACCAGAGAAATTTTAACAATCAACACAGAAATCATCGATAGATACAGCGATAGGAGACGACTCGACATCTGCGAGGCACTTCACATCAAAAATTCAACACCAGCAATCAAAAGCCAATTAACGCATAACTATATTCTACCCACTTCAAGACCCCGAACCAACATAGAAGCAGCAAGAGAAAACATGGGCCAATAGGCCCTCTGGAGTTACTTTCATTCATATGTTTTCATATCCAATTTATACCCATTAATTCGTGTTTCGTCACCTCGCCCAAAATCATTTGTCATATCACCTAACCCAAAACGAATATAAGCATGATATATGTGTAAACATGTCTTTGAAAATGTTATAAGCCCTTGCGAAACGCGAAATATATATATATATATATATATATATATATATATATATATATATATATATATATATATATATATATATATATATATATATATATATATATATATATATATATTGTGTACATGTGTGTTTTATATTTATATATATGTATATATATATATATATATGTCGTACCTAGTACGTTCCATGAGAACATGAGGGGCACCGTGGTCTTTGATGGCCTAACATCAGGCGCCTTTGACATCCGAAGTGGAGTAAAGCAGGGCTGCGTACTGGCTCCAACCCTATTCGGGATTTTCTTCGCAGTTATGCTGCGGCACGCCTTCGGATCTGTCACGGAAGGCATTTACCTCCGGACCAGGTCGGATGGGAAGCTCTTTAACCTCGCCAGGCTGAGTGCCAAGACAAAGGTTCGGCTGAGGTGTCTGCGCGACTTCCTCTTTGCCGACGACGCAGCAGTCACTGCCCACTCAGCTGAAGACCTCCAACGGCTCATAACCCGCTTCAGCGAGGCCTCTCAGGCTTTCGGACTCACCATCAGTCTGAAGAAAACACAAGTCATGGGACAAGGAGTGGACTCCCCACCTGACATCGGCATCTCTGATTCCAAACTGGAAGTTGTTCACGACTTCGTGTACCTGGGCTCCACAATCTCTGACTCCCTCTCTCTTGATACGGAGCTAAACAAACGCATCGGTAAGGCATCTACTACCATGTCCAAACTGACAAAGAGAGTGTGGGCCAACAATAGGCTAACTGAGTATACTAAGATTCAGGTTTACAGATCCTGTGTCCTGAGCACTCTCCTTTATGGCAGTGAGTCTTGGACACTCCGCGCCCGTCAGGAAAGACGGCTGAATGCCTACCACATGCGCTGCCTTCGACACATCTTGGACATCACCTGGCAGGACAAGGTGACAAACAACAACGTCTTGGAGAGCAAGAATCACCAGCATGTACACAATGCTGAAACAGAGACGAATGCGCTGGCTCGGGCACGTTGTGCGAATGGGCGACGGCAGGATCCCCAAGGATCTCCTGTATGGAGAGCTGAGGCAGGGAAAGCGTCCAGTAGGCAAGCCCCAGCTACGGTACAAAGACGTATGCAAAAGGGACCTGAAAGCCATGGACGTCGATCTTGCTATATGGGAGACACTGGCTACAGACCGTTCAGCCTGGAGGCAGTCTGTTCAACGAGGTCTCTCCAAGTTCGAGGAGTCACTTGCCAAGGAATCGGAGGCAAAGAGACAGAGAAGGAAAGCCGGTAACCAGGAAGACAGACCAGAATCGGACTTCGTTTGTGCTCGGTGTGGGATGGACTGCCACTCTCGGATTGGCCTCATCAGTCACACCAGACGCTGCACCAGGATTGACAACTAGGGCGCAACTCCATAGTCTCCCGAGACTGAAGGATGCCTACTACTACTACGTACCTAGTAGCCAGAACGCACTTTTCAGCCTACTATGCAAGGCCCAATTTGCCTAATAAGCCAAGTTTTCCTGAAATAATATATTTTCTCTAATTTTTTTCTTATGAAATGATAAAGCTACCCATTTCATTATGTATGAGGTCAATTTTTTTTATTGGAGTTAAAATTAACGTAGATATATGACCGAACCTAACCAACCCTACCTAACCTAACCCATCTTTATAGGTTAGGTTCGGTTAGGTAGCCGAAAAAGTTAGGTTAGGTAGGTTAGGTAGTCGAAAAAACATTAATTCATGAAAACTTTGCTTATTAGGCAAATTGGGCCTTGCATATTAGGCTGAGAAGTGAGTTCTGGCTACTAGGTACGACATTATATATATATATATATATATATATATATATATATATATATATATATATATATATATATATATATATATATATATATATATATATATATATATATAAATAATATTATCTGAGCTGAATAACGAAACCGGTTCCCCAGCCCGAGCTAAGGCCTCAGTCCCAATACATTAACTAGCTACCACACAGCAGCCACAATACTGGTCGCCTGGCACCTTCCCCCTAGTATGTATCTCCCACTGATTATAAATAGTGCACGAAGAGACCACCCCAAACCCTCGTCACTTTCGTCGTTCCTCATCTCTCATTGGGTGGCGAAACGTCCAATTTTCAACTTTTCGTCTCTGCTGATGTTTGGTTTCAGTGCGTCACTTTCAGGGCTCCTCGCGTCTGCTGCTGATATTAATGCTTCACTTTCAGCTTTCCTCCTGTTATCTAGTAGAAAGTGCAGTGCAGCTTGCAAGAATATCCGGTGAAGAATCGGCTGCAACTTGAAAACCACTAAGAGGAAGAAGCACAGTATTCAAGACACGCTATGAAGTGAAAAAAAAAGTTCCAAAGTCATCAAAAATAGTAAACAAACACAGAGAGGAAGGAAGGGCAGGCTGATAGCAGGAAGCAAGGAACGGCAGTGAGCAAGGAAAGGCAGGGCAGCGACACGGAGCCAGGAACGGCAGGGAAGCGACAGGGAGCAAGGAAAGGCTGGGCAGCGACACGGAGCCAGGAACGGCAGGACAGCGACAGGGAGCAAGAAACGGCAGGGCAGCGACAGGGAGCAAGGAACGGCAGGACAGCGACAGGGAGCAAGGAACGGCAGGGCAGCGACAGGGAGCAAGGAACGGCAGGGCAGCGACAGGGAGCAAGAAACGGCAGGACAGCGACCGGGAGCAAGGAACGGCCGGGCCGCGATAGGGAGCAAGGAACGGCAGGGCAGCGACAGGGAGCAAGAAACGGCAGGGCAGCGACAGGGAGCAAGGAACGGCAGGACAGCGACAGGGAGCAAGGAACGGCAGGACAGCGACCGGGAGCAAGGAACGGCAAGGCAGCGACAGGGAGCAAGGAACGGCCGGGCCGCGACAGGGAGCAAGGAACGGCCGGGCCGCGACAGGGAGCAAGGAACGGCCGGGCCGCGACAGGGAGCAAGGAACGGCCGGGCCGCGACAGGGAGCAAGGAACGGCCGGGCCGCGACAGGGAGCAAGGAACGGCCGGGCCGCGACAGGGAGCAAGGAACGGCCGGGCCGCGACAGGGAGCAAGGAACGGCCGGGCCGCGACAGGGAGCAAGGAACGGCCGGGCCGCGACAGGGAGCAAGGAACGGCCGGGCCGCGACAGGGAGCAAGGAACGGCCGGGCCGCGACAGGGAGCAAGGAACGGCCGGGCCGCGACAGGGAGCAAGGAACGGCAGGGAGGAATCAGAAGTTCTTTATAAAACTGAAGACAGTTCAGTATAATCGGAGTTTTATCGCTCAACTTCAGTGTTCTTTATTTTTCTTCAGAAGTAATGGAAAAAAACGGGAGAGGGGAGAGGACAGGAGGAGGAATGGAAGGGAGCCGGAAGGAGGAAAGGGACTGGGGTGTAGTGAGAGGAAATGGGAGAGTAATGGAGGCAGGAAATGGATAAGGAGAAATTGCTTGGAAATGGGGGAAGATGGACGAGAGAATTAGTAAGGAATGGAAGGTAGTGAAGCGGGGAATTGGTTAACCAAGGTGGAAAGAGTTAAAATAGATGAAAGGGAATAAATAAGGGGGATGGGATAATCAAAAGGGGACAAAGGGTTGTAGTAAAGCCAGGACAAGAATGACAAAAAGGACGAAAGATGAAATCACTGAGAGAGAGAGAGAGAGAGAGAGAGAGAGAGAGAGAGAGAGAGAGAGAGAGAGAGAGAGAGAGGCATGGAGAACATGAGCAGAAGAGTGGCGTCAGAGGTTGGCAAGACGAATGGAGAGGGAGGGAGAGAGGGAGGGAGGGAGGGATTAGGGAGGGAGGGAGGGTGGGTGCTTGAGGGAGGTACTGAGATAGCGAGCTGTACTTAAGGCATAAAAGAAGTCGTTCAGGGCACTAGAGTTTACACCTAATTACGAACAATTGTCCACTAAAACGTGAGAGTCAGGTCTCTCCCGCCGCCTCGGGGCTCAAGGCAGGAAAAATCTTCCTGCCGCCAGAATAGGGAGTTATGAGGATTTTCCTCATGGCAGATGGCCACTTTGATACATCCCGGAGATTATGCTGATGGTGTGGCTTGGTGCGCCACACCCCACCCGGTGTGGCTTGCTTGCGCCACACCCCACCCGGTGTGGCTTGCTTGCGCCACACCCCACCCGGTGTGGCTTGCTTGCGCCACACCCCACCCGGTGTGGCGTGCTTGCGCCACACCCCACCCGGTGTGGCTTGCTTGCGCCACACCCCACCCGGTGTGGCTTGCTTGCGCCACACCCCACCCGGTGTGGCTTGCTTGCGCCACACCCCACCCGGTGTGGCTTGCTTGCGCCACACCCCACCCGGTGTGGCTTGCTTGCGCCACACCCCACCCGGTGTGGCTTGCTTGCGCCACACCCCACCCGGTGTGGCTTGCTTGCGCCACACCCCACCCGGTGTGGCTTGCTTGCGCCACACCCCACCCGGTGTGGCTTGCTTGCGCCACACCCCACCCGGTGTGGCTTGCTTGCGCCACACCCCACCCGGTGTGGCTTGCTTGCGCCACACCCCGCCCGGTGTGGCTTGCTTGCGCCACACCCCGCCCGGTGTGGCTTGCTTGCGCCACACCCCGCCCGGTGTGGCTTGCTTGCGCCACACCCCGCCCGGTGTGGCTTGCTTGCGCCACACCCCGCCCGGTGTGGCTTGCTTGCGCCACACCCCGCCCGGTGTGGCTTGCTTGCGCCACACCCCGCCCGGTGTGGCTTGCTTGCGCCACACCCCGCCCGGTGTGGCTTGCTTGCGCCACACCCCGCCCGGTGTGGCTTGCTTGCGCCACACCCCGCCCGGTGTGGCTTGCTTGCGCCACACCCCGCCCGGTGTGGCTTGCTTGCGCCACACCCCGCCCGGTGTGGCTTGCTTGCGCCACACCCCACCCGGTGTGGCTTGCTTGCGCCACACCCCACCCGGTGTGGCTTGCTTGCGCCACACCCCACCCGGTGTGGCTTGCTTGCGCCACACCCCACCCGGTGTGGCTTGCTTGCGCCACACCCCACCCGGTGTGGCTTGCTTGCGCCACACCCCACCCGGTGTGGCTTGCTTGCGCCACACCCCACCCGGTGTGGCTTGCTTGCGCCACACCCCACCCGGTGTGGCTTGCTTGCGCCACACCCCACCCGGTGTGGCTTGCTTGCGCCACACCCCACCCGGTGTGGCTTGCTTGCGCCACACCCCACCCGGTGTGGCTTGCTTGCGCCACACCCCACCCGGTGTGGCTTGCTTGCGCCACACCCCACCCGGTGTGGCTTGCTTGCGCCACACCCCACCCGGTGTGGCTTGCTTGCGCCACACCCCACCCGGTGTGGCTTGCTTGCGCCACACCCCACCCGGTGTGGCTTGCTTGCGCCACACCCCACCCGGTGTGGCTTGCTTGCGCCACACCCCACCCGGTGTGGCTTGCTTGCGCCACACCCCACCCGGTGTGGCTTGCTTGCGCCACACCCCACCCGGTGTGGCTTGCTTGCGCCACACCCCACCCGGTGTGGCTTGCTTGCGCCACACCCCACCCGGAGTGGCTTGCTTGCGCCACACCCCACCCGGAGTGGCTTGCTTGCGCCACACCCCACCCGGAGTGGCTTGCTTGCGCCACACCCCACCCGGAGTGGCTTGCTTGCGCCACACCCACTCACACGGGTGAAGGATACCCGAGGGCCGGTGTGCCTCCAGCGGGCTCCAGAACGTGGCAGGCCAGACACCGAGGAATGATGGTCTGAAGGAAAACAAAAGTTAGAAAAGCAAGTCAAAACCCCGTGAAATAAATTCCCTGCAATCACAACGTAACGGACCCTATTGTTTCCTTGTAACAACTTTATAACGAGATGTTCCAACATGTTACAAAGTTTTTATGATGTGAAGAAAGTTGTTACAACTTGTAAAAAGGTATTATAACTTATTCGAACGTTGTAACAACGTCGTAGTTTAGTCGTGTTTGGAGGGTTGATATTTAATTGATCTCCCTGGATGCTAAGTTATGCTTTGTAATGGCTTAATATCTCCGAGGTATATAGCAAATAGCTGCTATTGTCCTTCCAATTTTGCTTAGACCTTCGCATAAGAAAGCTTGGGGGGAATATATCATGTAGGTTTCCAAAAGCTGCCGACTGATATATTCCTTGGAGGTCGGCCGCCTCCAAGTACCTTCAAGACGTCTTTCCTAAGCTGACTGAGGTCACAGCAAAGTTTGAGGGGAATAACATTCAGTAAGCAGTTCGAAAATATTTACATGAACAAAATTAGTTACATTTTTTAGGGTGATATTCGTTGTTCAATGTCTTGTGACTGGCACCTTCTAAGTGGTTATTGGCAGGAACAGCTGCCATGGTTTGATCGTTTGGAGAAATAATAATTTAGGAAATGACGTGAGCATGTGGAGTGTGTAAACCACGGAGGGAGACATCAGGTAAAGTGTATACCAAATGGGTACAGGTGATAGTGAGTGGAAGTTAATTAAAATTGTAACTGATTAAACCACGCAAGGAGAACATTTAATATCCATATAATAGTACGACAGTTTTCCTGTCAGCTATGTGTCTTAACTACAGAATTAAGTGGTGTCGTTTTTAAAGGACCGAAATGAACGAAAAGGAAAATGAACGTTTTTAAAGAATCGAAAGACGTTCATAATATGTGTGTTTTACGTATGAAATGTATATAGGAGAGCTTGTCTATATGACGTTTGTTCCTGTACTCTCGTAGTTAATTGAAGAAATACAGAATGTATATTTTCAATTAAAATGGGATTTAAATAATTAATACTAGCACTGGTCATGAAGTCAATACACACCTTGAGGGATACAGCACCAACAAGTGCGGTTACAGACAAAATAGGTGATGAGACAACCCATAAAGTACAGTGTGAAATAATCTGAAAGAAACCGCAATACAGATTACAAACATTCTGAACACAGGAAAACTCTGAACAAGCACGTAACTACTACGTGAATTAAAACAAAAGCATAATGTGGTAATTAAAACTTGTACGAAACTGCCACGTGAATATAACCAAGCATGCAGCTACCACGTGCTTTAAAGGAAACACGTATTTACGTGAATTTTCACAAGCATACTACAAAGATAAATACATGTATCGCTATTCAATAAACCTTTGTTCTTACTAGCGTGTTTTAATAGAGAATAATAAGAATGAGATGTAAATACGAAGAGTGGTCTAACCTCCTGCGTAGTATTCCCAAAAGATTCTCACATACGCTCTTTACGCAACATTCGTTCTTTTGTTTTAAAATTCGCCAAAGTAAATATTAGAAATGCGTAATTAAACCTCGGCCAGGTGTTATGATCTCAGCCTACAGGAGAAACGAGTCTCCCTCCTTGAGAGTTATTCATCAAGCCTGACCTGATTAGAAGGTCTAGCAAATATTGAGGTGATAACGCATATGTAAAATAGTTGCTTGGATATGTATAACAGTTTGAGATTATGGGCAATGAAGAAGAAAACAGATAAATGACTGGCTAGGAGATGTGGACATTTTGCTGGAGGCGTGAGGCTCGCTTCCGGAGGACCTTGACCTCGCTTGAGTGCCAGACATCGCAGGGGAAAGCCGCGCTACGTGAGCTCCCGCCAGAAGGGAACCCCTAGTGATATATCTCGAAGAGAAGAGAAGTGTGTAGACGTGCCAGCTGTGGAACCGAGCTGGGAACGTTGTGGTCTCAAGTCCTGGTCGACGAGCAGAGTTCAATAAGCTGCTCAGAGGCATTTTCGTGGGCTGTGTGGAGCGCCCTGACCAGACGCCGTCAGAGGGAAAGCGCCCTCGACCATTTAATCTGTGGTAAGCACGATATACGCCAGTTCATAGTGATTACTTGTAGTTGGTCGTGTGCCCAGCGACAGTAGCAATGTTTATTTATAAGTTAGACATGTTTTAATAAGGCAGAAAGCCTGAAATAGGAGAGTGAAGAGGGAGGAGCACGGAGCGACGTCCATCCCCTCTGAGCTCTGACCGACGACTGAGGAAGCCCGGCTCCTGACGGAGGAAGACCCTCCCAGCGAGTGAGGACCGCCGCCAGGCGAGGTGGAGTATGGACCCGCCCAAAACGGGGGAGTCCACTCTCACTGTATGTAGAGAACAGATAGAGGTTTGAGGCAAACATATTGTGTGATTATTTTCATGTGTTAATGGGGAACATTTTTATTGGAGTGTCGATGGGTTGCAGGTTTGTCTTTGGGGAAGAAGTTGCTGAGAACTTCGAAGCCAGCAGATGAAGTAATTGATGAGACTCCAAGGTAGTGAAGCAGAGGACCTCGAGCTGTGAGGAGAAGCAGTGAAGAGGAGTGTCACGTGCTTCTGTAGAGGTGGTGTAGCAGCCAAGAGAGCTGTGGAGGAACCTAGCAGAAGGGTGAAGCACCGTAGTTGCTCAAGGAAACTTCATGATAGCAGCCTGGAGGAGCTGCAGAGGATCCTGGTAGTGAAGCCCGGAAGAACCTGAAGATATCAGGGTAGTGAACTTCCAGAGGTGGAAGGGGAAGTTCTGGTGGATTACTAGTAGGGAGTTGATAGTGTTTGGTTGTCATTAGCGTGCAAGACGCAGTGAGAGGTGAGTGACTGTTTGCATTCTTATGTCAAGGAGTGTTTTATACTGAAGTTTAGAGTTACAGTCGTAGGCTGGATTACCTACAGATGTATGCGTTCCAGGACTGACAGTGATCGATTGATCATTGTTGTGTATCAATGAACATTTATACTGATATATGTTATTGCATTCAAATGCTGATTTTCTATATATATATTATCTTGCTGATGGTGCAACAGTGTATGTAGACTTGATCAACTTGAGGAGGTTGATAGTATCAGGTGGTGAACCAGGAGATAGGATACCACTTGATAAGCTGATGGTAGAGTTCTGGTTGTGTTGGAGAGCAACCTGATTGTGATATTATAGAGTATAGGATTCATTATTATTATATGTGTGTATGTATCGTGTATGTGCTTTGTCCAGTAAATGTATCCCAATTTGCTGGTGTTTGCCCTTGTCCTAGTGAGGCTTTCCAGGAGGTAGTAAAGAAGGAGAGAGAGAGAGAAAGAATCAAGAACCACTGCTGTGGACAGGGTAAAAGGTAATACTAATAGGTCAAAAGGGGATTGAGATCATATCACCTAAGGAGAGAGTGGGGAGTCACAGCGGCTCGAGTGGGTGTGTGCACGTGACAACGAGGCTGAGTGTTGGAGCCGCATCCCCTAAACATGTGACGTGGAGCCCCTCTCCAAGAGCCAGAAGCGCCTGGTGTGATCTCCTAGTGAAGTGTAAGCACTCTACCGAGTTGTGGGTTGGGTTGTCCGTAGAGAAGGATCAACGACGACAACACCCACCAACCCACAGTCTATAATATCTACTTTGTCAATTCCTCTAAGAACCTTGCATGTTATCACGTTGTGCGCCCTTTCCCTCTTTTCCTTCAGTGTGGGAAGGGTCACTAGGCCCAGCCACTTGGGCCAGTTCCATCAAAAATCCTTATCTTGACCCCTTCCATGTGCTATGTAGTCCTAATGGTTTGGTGCTTTCCCCTGATAGTTCCCTTCCCTTCTTTGTTTTTCGTCATAGCTCGGTCCCTTCAGCTCAGAAACGAGCTGATGGGACTGAAGTGGTTGCGACTGACAGTCCCAACCACTTGGGCTGGACGGTAGAGCGACGGTCTCGCTTCATTCACGTCAGCGTTCAATCCCCAACTGTCCAATTGGTTGGGCACTATCCCTTCTATTCCTTTCCCTTGCCGTGTCCAAAATCTCCTTATCTCTTCCAAGTGACATATGGTCGTAATGGCTAGGTTCTTCTTCTTCATCATTACCTTTACGTTAAGAACGAATCTCGTTGCATATCTTTCAACCTTTTATAGTTTCTCTTTGACCTTTTCAAATAAGAGTTTCACGCTGAGGATCCATATTCAAGTGTGTGTGTGTGTGTGTGTGTGTGTGTGTATATATATATATATATATATATATATATATATATATATATATATATATATATATATATATATATATATATATATATATATATATATATATATATATATATATATATATATATATATATATATATATATATATATATATATATATATATATAATATAATATAATATATAAACTTGGCTGTTTACAGGGCCCGTAAAGCCCCCCGGGTCTAAGCTTCTGCAGGATACATGGACGTTGGCCATTATGCCATTTACAGCTGTTGCTCTTCTGCTTGTTACTGGCCTGTCCCCCCCCCCCGCCACCTGCTGGCCTGCTCCCCCCCCCGCCACCTGCTGCCTGCTCCCCCCCCCCGCCACCTGCTGGCCTGCTCTCCCCACCCCCGCCACCTGCTGGCCTGCTCTCCCCCCCGCCACCTGCTGGCCTGCTCTCCCCCCCCGCCCCCCCACCTGCTGGCCTGCTCTCCCCCCGCCCGCCACCTGCTGGCCTGCTCCCCCCCCCCCGCCACCTGCTGGCCTGTTCTCCCCATCCCGCCACCTGCTGGCCTGCTCTTCCCCCCCCCGCCACCTGCTGGCCTGCTCTTCCCCCCCCCCCGCCACCTGCTGGCCTGCTCTTCCCCCCCCCGCCACCTGCTGGCCTGCTCTCCCTCCCCCCCGCCACCTGCTGGCCTGCTCTCCCCCCCCCCCGCCACCTGCTGGCCTGCTCTCCCCCCCCCCGCCACCTGCTGGCCTGCTCTCCCCCCCCCCGCCACCTGCTGGCCTGCTCTCCACCCCCCCGCCACCT